GAAGCTATGGTCAAGAGGGAACCTGAGCCTCCATCTCTAGCTGGAAGCAGGACTTGGTAATGTGGAAGAAAGAGTCTCCTACATGGTTCTGTCTTTTTTTCTGAAACAGGGTCTCCCTGTAGCCCCAGCTGGCCTGGAACTCACTATGTAGACCAGGCTGACCATGAACTCACAGAGATCTGCCTGCCTCTGCCTCCCAGTGCTGGGACTACAGGCGTGCACCACCACACCCAGCTTCCTACGTGGTTCTGATATTGAAAGCATGAAGGGGTCACAGAGAGCAGCTGAGGCTTGGCACTCTGAGAGGCCAGGAAAGGCCATAGGTGAAAGTCCAGCTTCAGTTGCAGTGAAGACCCCAGGATTGAAGGGGTCATGGAGAGAATCTGAGGCCTGTGCACCCCAAGAGGCAAGAAAAGACCATTGGTGAAGGTGCAGCCTCAGTTTCAGTGGAGACCCCAGCTTTTTGGAGATGCCAAGACCATGGGATGACCACCAAGGACAGCAGTAGGTGTGGAATGGAGCTGGCCTGGGTCTGTGAGACAAGCTGTTTGTGTTGTGGATGGCAGAGTCAGAGAAGTAGAGCTGCCAGAACTCTTTGGAGCCCAGAAGATCGTGAGTAGATCCCAGATGTCCAGCATGAAGCCTTGAGCTACTTTGCTGGACTTTGGTTTTGCTTAGGTGTGCCCGATTCTTCCCTTTGAAATAAGATAGTACTTGTTTTGGATTTTACAGAAGCCCTCAGTTAAGAAGCTTAAAAGAGACTATGGAATTTTTTTTTTCTTTTTTTTTTTTCTGTCTTTTTGAGGCAGAGTCTCCCTATAGCTGCAGCTGGCTTGGATTCTCTATGGAGATCAGGCTGGCCTTGAACTCACAGAGATATGCCTGCCTCTGCCTCCCAAGTGCTGGGATTAAAGGCATCCACCACCACACCTGGTTTGAGACTATGGACTTTTTTTTTTTCCAGTCTTTTTGAGACAGGGTCTCCCTGTAGCCCCAGCTGTCCTGGAACTCACTACGTAGACCAGGCTGGCCTTGAACTCACAGAGATCCACCTGCCTATGCCCCCGGAGTGCTGGGATTAAAGGCGTGCGCCACCATACCCGGCTGAGACTACGGTTTGGATTTTTTAAGGACTGTGGTGGGGCTTTTAAGGTTGTACTGTCTTATGTTGTGATATTAACATCCTATCTTGGGGACAAGAATTGGAAAGCTTATGGTTTAATAGTGATGTGTTTGTGTGTCAAGTTGACAAGGGATCAATTGTGCTGGATGCTTTAGTGTCCACTTGACACACCTGGGTTGAGGGAGCCTCAATTGGGGAATTGCCTCCATAGGGCTGGACTGTGACCATGTCTGTGGGGGATCTTCTTGCTTGTTGAGTGATGTGGGAGGGCCCAGCCCAATGTGGGTGGTGCCACCCATGGGCAAGTGGGCCTGTGTTGCATAAGAAAGCAGGCTGAGCAGGCACCAGGAGAGCAAGCCAGTAAGCAGCATTCCTCCATGGCCTGTGCTCCAGCTCCTGCCTCCAGTTTCCTGCCCTGAGTTCCTACCTTGGGCTCCCTGATGAACTGTGACCCAGGAGATGTAAGACAAAATAAAACACTTTGTGTCCCAAACAGCCTGTTTCCTCTGAGGGGTGGGGCCTGCTGAGGAGAACTGACTAGAGAGCTAGCCATAGGAGGAGGGGCTTTCTGCGCCATCTTGGACAGGAGCTGTGACTGGAGCGCGAGCAAATGGCCCAGCATTTACCCACCTGCGGCAAGAGTACAGGCCCACTAGGCATGGGCAAAAGCTAGCGGTGACTATGGGTGGGCCCCAGGAGTGATCTGGAGTTGGCGAGCTCTGATCTGGAATGGTGGGCTCTGAGCTGCTGGGCACCCGGTGTTTGTCTCTTTGTGATTTACTCCCCCCGCACGGTATAAACTATAATAAATTCACATAAAAATATGTTATATGGTTTGTCTAATAGCACAAGAGACCCCGACAGAACTCAGGTGACAAAATTGGTGTAGTCAGCTGTTGGGGACCTCTGTTATGCAAAGTAGAAGCCCCTTCACGTCCGGACAGCTCATGCAGCTCGGGATTATGTGCTGGGGCTCCTTTCATAGCAGGGTGCCTTCCTGGCTTCTTTCCTGCCTCTCCTTTTGAAGTCCCCGCCACAAATGCTCTAAACTCTAACATGGCCTCTGGCTCTGAAAGATACCATGCTTTCCTGTGATTTTTCAGGCAGACAGCAGTCTGGCAGAAACCCACTTCCATATGTAAATACAATGTCTCACAAAGTACCTAACAGCCAAAGCTTTTACCACTACCCCCATGGTATAAATATCCTAGTCTTCTCTCAATATTTGGAGCTAGAAGCAGACTTAGAGCTAGAGCGAGAACTGGGTCACTGAGACTTGGAATAAAGAGCTGTAGACTGAGTTCTGTGTCTCCTGCCTGCAATCTAGCCTCCCCGGGGGCAGCACTCCTCTGTTACCAACTTGTGGACATTCCTAGCTTTCGCTGTCCTCATACTCTTCCCGTGTGGTCCAGTGGCCAGTGGACCTCGCATCCTGAGGAAAGTACACGGGTGAAGTAGGGACAGGATTCGGCTGGACAACGCTCCAGTAGCAGAGGAACTTTCACCACCAAAAGCCGCGGCCAGCCACCGCATCCAGGAGATACGAGCCACGGTGCCACAGGACGCGGCCCACCGGAAAAGCTTGCGGGGCCAGACCTGCCATCCTCCAGTGCCATTCGGGAAGTACGCGTAGGGATCCCGAGAGCCCAGCGCACACGCCTATAGTCAGCAGGATGAAAGTGCTAAAAATGATAAACTGTGCAAGTCTGGAAAAAGCTAGAGAGCTGATGGCTGTGCTGATGTGTTTTTATTTTACAAAGGATTGTAAAATATGTAACTAAAAAGGGACGGACTATGCAGAAACATGGGCCACAGCTGTCACTTTCCATAATAAAAGATGTGCTCCAGGCAGGGGAAAAGTCTAGGGAGGTCCTGGCAGATCCAGTTGCAGAGCTTGAGAGAGAAAAAAAGTGGATACTTTGACTTGTGTAAGGTTCAAGGACTCAGAGGAAGAGACAGATAATAGTAAAAGAGAAAATGACCTAAAAATAAAAGTAGCTAAAGCTGCCCCTCAGATTCAACCAGATACAAAAGGAAAAAAAGCGCACAGCGCTGTATCTAGGAAATACTCCATACTAAAACTGTTAAAACTAAGAAAAACTTACAAGCAAGCAAGCAGAGAGCCCCTAGCCACGTGGCTTGTGAGTGTGCAGAACATGAGAGCAAATGATGTCAGTCTAAGTCCTTCAGAAGCTTCACAGCTGAGTTATATAACCACCCATCCATCCTTGGGATAGGCTGTTCAACCTAGGCCAATGCAGGGGGGAGCAGTCCTTAATGGGATGGCTGGTTGAAGGCATTAAAGACATATGGTTGTCACCAAGGGAGACTAACATGATTAGCAGGGGCTGGAGGACTCTAAAGGAGAGGCAGGCATTACTGAGAGAACTAGGTATGAGAAAAGCAATATATGATGTCCAGTTCACTGGGCCAGGTAAGACTGTGTTCACCAGAGATATGAAGAAAGCTTAATTCAACTGGGACCTCGTGCACACACATGTACTCATATGCATGGACATGAGTGCACCTTTTATTTGTGTACACACACACATAATAAAGCCTTTTTAAAAAGGTATTTACAGCCGGGCGTGGTGGCGCACGCCTTTAATCCCAGCACTTGGGAGGTAGAGGCAGGTGGATCTCTGAGTTCAAGGCCAGCCTGGTCTACATAGTGAGTTCCAGGACAGCTGGGGCTACAGGGAGACCCTGTCTCAAAAAGACAAAAAAAAAAAAAAAAAAGTTATTTACCTAAAAACGTCATTATGGAACTCTCTTTTGTACACTACCTGCGAAGACTAATCAGAGCTGTATACTCAACAATAAAAGGCACAGAAACATTCCAGTCAGAGACAATTTGATAGATATAAGGTTGTACTTTTCTGAGTCAATACAGTTAAATTCAATCAATCTGGTCTTTCCGGCAACTACAACAGGGATAAAAAGGGCTCTAAACCAGAAACATGCTTTGTATAGCTTGACAGTTTTTACAGAAAAAGGGGAAAACATTTGTGTCGTTTTCCAAATATTTCTGTGTAAACACAGGTCATAGGTATTCCAAACGCATACAGGAAAATAGCTCTTAACCCAAGGCCATTTGAAACAGAAACACATGAATTACTTCAGGTAACGCTATTCCTAAACTTATTACATATCCAACAGCATTTCAGGCGAACCATTTAGTTGATTGGGGTATTCTGGGTTTTTTGGTTTGTTTTAGATAGGGCCTCATGTAACCCAGGCTGGTGTCAAACTCTATACCTCTGAGGATGACTTTGAACTTGGGATTCTCCTACCTCCACCTCCCAAGTTCTGGGATGATAAATATTCCCTACCATATCTCTTTGTGTTTTAAACAAACAAGTTAAACAAAAACAAAAACAGTGTCTTTTCTTAGCTCCAGCTGGCATGGAACACTGGATCCTCCAGTTTCAGTCTCCTAAGAACTGGTCTCACAGGCCTGGGCCACCATCCCTGGCTCCCTGTTAGGGTTCTGAATTTAAAGGTAAAGCACAATGGGCTGGAGAGATGGCTCAGTGGTTAAGAACACTGGCTGTTCTTGCAGAAGACCTGGGTTCGAATCCCAGCACCCACATGGCAGCTAACAACTGTCTGTAACTCCAGTCACAGGGGATCCAACAGCCTCTTCTGACCTCCTCAGGCATTGCACGACATGGTGCACTTACCTACATGCAGGCAATACACGAATGCACATTTAAAAAAAAAAGGTAAAGCACAACATACCAGTTAAGCATGGTGGTGCATGCCTTTAAACCCAGCACTCAGGAGGCCGAAATGAGATTGTGAGTTCAAGGCCAGCCTGGGCCTATACAGTATGACGAATGCACATTTAAAAAAAAAAAAAAAGGTAAAGCACAACATACCAGCTAAGTGTGGTGGTGCATGCCTTTAAACCCAGCACTCAGGAGGCCGAAATGAGATTGCTCGAGTTCAAGGCCAGCCTGGGCCTATACAGTATGATCTTTGTCTCAAAAAAAAAACGAAGAATAAGAAGAGGAAGGGAAGGAAGGAGAGAACCTAATCACAAACGGTTACACAATGCACGAAACAAACAGCCTTCGTGTGCACAGAGTAAGAGCCAGTTACCTCCTTGAGCTGGGCTCTGCTCCCTGGAACGCTGGGTCCTGCAGGTACAGCAGGCGCTTGGTATGGCTGGGCCACTGTGCTCTGCCTGAGGTCAGTTGTGCTGAACTCTGCCTGGGTTTCTGAACTTCCACTCTTGGGTTCTAGGTGTTTCTCTACTCTCAAAAGAGCTGAGGGACTTCTGTTCTCTGCTCCAGGGATCTTTGTCTCTTCAACTTCAAACTCGCCATTCTAGATTGTGTTGCACATCCAAAAACAAAACAAAGTGAGACTTTTAAAAATCGTGTCTTATACACCATGAAAACCTTAAAGCAGAAAAACGTCAAGTCAAAAACAGAGAACATGCTCTACTATTTTTAGTTAAGACTCTTCAACCATAATCATACATTTGAAACTTTCCCAACCAGTATGCTACAGAACATCAAGTTCATTAGCCAGTCAGGAAGCCTGGTCTGACAAACTGGGACCCTGCGACATTGACCAAAGTGAAAAAAGAAACTTCTCAGCCAGGTGTGGTGGTGCGCGCCTGTAGGCGCCTGCAGGCGGATCTCTGTGAGTTCAAGGCCAGCCTGGTATACATAGTGAGTTCCAGGACAACTGGAGCTACAGGGAGACCCTGCTTCAAAAAGACAAAAAAAAAAAAAACAAAAAAAAAAAAAAACCCAAAACAACAACAACAACAAAAAAAAACAGAAAAAGAAAGAAACTTCTCTGATGTGATCATCATTGTAAAATTTTACACGGGGTGGGGAGCTGGCTGGAGAGGTGGCTCAGGGGTTAGAGCCCTTGCTGTTCTTCTAGAGGACCGGGTTGGACTCCCAGCACCCACATGATGGCTCTGTTGTCCTCTTCCAACTTTTGCCGGTACTATATACAATAACCATACTGGCAATGAAAACACTTGTACAAATAAGTAAATCATTTTTCAAAAAACTTACATCAGGGTTAGGGGTGGAGCTCAGCAGTAGAGCTTGTGCTTAACATGTACAAGTCCCTGATATCAATCTCTAGCACCCAACAACAGAAACCTCAATTTTACTTCTAGTTTATGACTTATCCTTTTTTTTGTCTTTTTGTCACCCTGTAGTCCCAGCTGGCCTGGCCTGGAACTTGCTATGTAGACCAGGGTGGCCTCAAACTCAGAGATCTGCCTGCTTCACCTCCTAAGTGCTGGGATGAAAGTATGAGCCACCAGGCCTGGCTTATGTTTTTGCTTTGAGATTAGTCAAATGGTATTGCCCAGGTTAGTTTCCAATTCCTGGGCTTAAGTCATCTTCCTGCCTTAGCTTCCCGAGCAGCTCGGACTACTGACACCACTGTACCCAGCCGTCCTCAGCTCTGAGATTCTCTAAATCTTCAATTCAACAGAAGCTTTGGGAGGAATGTTAGGTATATCTGCAGCCTTAAATACTGCATGGTCCTTGAGGAGGAGGGGAATTGTGCATGTCCCTGTCCACTCTAGCAGGACAATCCAGACAGCCACCATTCCCAAGGCCAATGCCCAGAGCCAGGGAGTCCAGCAGCTGGAAGCAGCCTTTGCTGTGGTATAGGAATGACTGCTGAAGGAAGGAGGACGTGTGAGCAAGCCTGCATGTCCAGTTTGTCTAGGACAGTGGGTTTGCCTGCCATCCTCTTAATAGTGCCTTCTACTCTCAAAGCCCAGGATGGCAAGTACATGGCTGCTGTGGGGAAATGAGCAACCCCTGTGGAGTCCTGGTTGGAGCAAAGCTGTTACAGAAGACTAGCCAGAGGAAAACAAGTGGACCTTTACTAGCACGTGCCCTTCATATGTACATGGAGATACAGAGAGTTCTCACAGGGGTGGTTTTCAACTCCAGCTTCTACATCTTTCAGGAAGGACAGTAACTTTTTAGAGAAGTGGCAAAGCAAGGGAAAAGGGACATACACACCAGTCTGGGCTGAACACAGTAGGACCTGTCTCAAAAAACAAAGCCGGGCACGGTGGCACACACCTTTAATTGCAGCACTTGGAAGGCAGAGGCAGGCAGATCTCTGCGAGTTCGAGGCCAGCCCGGTTGATATAGCGAGTTCCAGGTCAGCTGGGGCTACAGGGAGACCGTCTCAAAAAGACCAAAAAACCCCACATCGCTTCACTATGCAGTTCTTCCCAAGTCAAGGAAAGTAATCTCAACAATCTAGGTACAAGATTTAGTTCCATGTACTTTACTCAATAAATAACTAATGAATACCTACTACATGTCAGGAGCTATTCCATGAGTCAAACATAAGGAAGTGAGTAGAAAGATAAAAGCCCTGACTCATAGGGAGCTGATCTCCAGTGCTTCCCAAGACTCAGAGAAGCCTAAACAGCTCTTTCATACCACAGGAAACTGTCAATTTAAACAGAACTCACAGGATAGAAGGATTGAACTTCACAATGTATCATTTTATATATTCTAAAGCTGGGTATAGAATATTGAGCAAATAGCTGGATGGTATCAAAAATTAAGCATGCTTGTTATACAAAGAAACTGTTTCTAAGCAAGACCATGTGGAAACAGCTATGTCTTTTATTAGGTGATTCCAAAATTGATTTCCTTCACCCTCACATACACAACAGTGGTAACCAGTCCACTGAACATGGTCAGAGGGCCACAAGATGCTACAGGCTTTTCTGTCCACCATGCTTAGCTTTAAAAGAGCATTAAGGCTACAGATAGGAGGCCCTTGGAAGTTACAGATCCTGGTGAAGGGGGCTCATCTCACCTGTCTAAAGTGTGTATCTACCACTTAGCAGAAGGAACAGATCTACAGCAGATGTTCTGACTGGGCACAGGGGCTGCAGAGGTGCTCAGTGGTTAGAGCACTGGCTGCTCTTGCAGAGGACCCAGGTTTGGTTCCCAGTTCCCATATGGCAGTTAACACTGGTCCAGAATTCCAGTTCCAAGGAATCTGATATCCTCTTCTGGCCTCCACAGGCACTGTTCAACATTGATGCACTTACAAACATGCAGGCAACACACACACATAAAATAAAATACTTTACAAAAAAAAAGAGAAGGGTAGGGACAAAGAGGCAGGTAAGGGCACTGTCACCAGATAGAAATGTTACCTGCAGGCCACCCCACGCTGACTCTGCCTCCTCCTCGCAGGGAACAGCTGATGTGGACAGCTCAGGGGAGGCCAGGTCACTGGTTCGTGCACTCCTGCACACCATGGTCAGGCTCCCATTGGCTTTCTCAGACAGCAACATCTCAGGCTGCAACTGGCCATGACCTGGATTAAGTTTAAAATGCCGGGCCAGTCCCCCCTTCCCTATGTATGACTTTCCACAAGTCTGACACTTAAAGGCCTTAGGTCTTAGGGCACAGCCCTCGTTCTCAAAAAGCACCTGCTTTTCCCTCTGCTCTTCATCCTCTTCCACACTCAGCTCCGAGTAGTCATCAGAATCAGATGGATGCCCATCCGCCAAGTCCTCCGTTTTGATGAATTTATAATCTTTAGCCTTGTACTTGGGAGGCCGAGATATCCGCCCAGAACGTGTTTTCACTTTTAAAGATGTCTTTAGTTTCTCAGTATGCGTTGTGTGCAAGCTGGAAATAAGCAGCCGTGCTGCACTGGAGGACACAGATGATACTGCCGGTGCAGCAGAGGCTGCCAAAGGCATCATTGTGACACCCTGTCCATCTGCAGCCTGGGGGGTCTCGACTCTCTTCACAGGGACTGGCTGAAGGGCTGGCAGTGGCCTCTGTACAAACACCTGAGGAGCAGGAGGCTGAGGGGGGCCACAGAGGAAACACAGCTGTGGCCCAGTCCTCCCCAGGGGCTGCACCCTGAGCAGCTGAGGCCTGGAGACACAGAGTCCGGGGGTGGAGCTTCTCCCAGGTGGCTGACTTGGTCCTGCTGTTTTGGGCTGGATGGTGGCCAGTGGGGGCATTGCCCTTTCCTTACCTTTCATGTCACCGGATGTCACCTTGACACAAATGGCTTCTAGTTGCTTAGACACAGGAAGAAACCAGAAGAGAGAAGTGTTATGCTTATCGACGTCTGCACAGCCTTTACCACAAACCCACTGTTGTCATGTTTACTAAACTGTACATCTTACATATGAAAGACCATGTAGTACAACTGTATGCTTATGGTGGTGGTTTACAAACCTTTCTGCCCTTACAACCAAGAAGAGCTCATGCACTGAAACACTGACAAGCCCAAGGACTGAGAAGGCTCCCGAAGTGACTCTCATCTCCACAGAAATGCTGTGGGAGAACCTGATCTATACCACTCTGACAAGCTAACTGCTGTAATGTGCTATGCTGACTTCATAACGTATTAAGAAATTATCCCTGGGAGGCTGGAGCAATGGCTCAGCAGTTAAGAGCACTGGCTGCTCTTGCAGAGGACCTGGGTTTTCTCAGCACCCACCTGGCCTCTAACAACGGTCTGTAACTCCAGTTCCAAGGGACCTGACACCCTCTTCTGACCTCCGTAGGTGCTACACAACATGAGTACACTTACATACATGTAGGCAAGACATTGATACACATAAAATAAAAATAAAATACAGGTGTTACTTGGAGTCCTTAGCTCTGTAGTCTAAATTGGACTCAATTCAATATGTGAGTAAATTAAATAAAAGCTTTAGCAAAATTCTAGAAGACAAAAAGCTACAGAGCACCATGTAAACAGGTAGGTTGCTACTACGCATCTATAACAGAGCCCAAGCTCCGCCCAAGCTACCCACCTTATCTGAGCTCTGCTGTTATTTAAACATTTTCAATATTTATAGAAATATCCCTGTATATATATAGTTCAATTCTGACTTGCTTTTTTGTTTGTTTGTTTTGAGACAGGGTCTCTCTGTAGCCCCAGCTGACCTGGAACTCACTATGTAGACCAGGTTGGCCTTGAACACACAGAGATCCACCTGCCTCTGCCTCCTGAGTGCTGGGATTACAGTGAACACCACCACTTCCAGCTCTTGACTTGCTTTTTTAAGGTTTATTTTTACTTCATTTTTTAGCATTTAAAAAAAATTGTATTACTTTTATTTTATGTGTACGAGTATATTGACTGCATGTGTGCAAGTGTACCTGTGTTGTGCAATGCCCATGGAAGTCAGAAGAGGGTGTTGAATCCCCTGGAACTGGAGTTACAGATGGTTGTTAGTTGCCATGTGGGTGCTAGGAATTGAACCCAGATCCTCTGCAAGAGCAGCCAGTGCTCTGAATTGCTGAGCCATCACTCCAGCCCCAAGTTTTATTTTTAAAGATTTGTTTTAATTATGTATATGTGTCTGTGTGGGGGTACATACATGTGAGCATGGGTGCCCATGGAGGCTAAAGGCATTGGATCCCCCGGAGCTACAGTTACAGGTGACTGTGAGCTGCCTGGGTGTTGGGAACTGAACTTGGGTCCTCCATAAGAGCAGTGCACGTTCTTTTTTCTATTATTACTTTTTTAAAAATATTTTAGAGCCGGGTGTAGGGGTGCATGCCTTTAATCCCAGCACTTGGGAGGCAGAGGCAGACAGATCATCTGTGAGTTCAAGGCCAGCCTGGTCTACAGAGTGAGTTCCAGGCAGCTGGAGCTACAGGAAGACCCTGTCTCAAAAAGACCAAAAAAAAATTTTTTTAATTATTTTTATTTTATATGTATGAATGTATTGCCTGCATGTATGTGAGTGCACCCATGTCATGCAATGCTGCGAAGGTCAGAAGAGAGCTTCAATTACCCGGACGGTTCGTAGCTGCCATGTGGGTGCCGGGAATTGAACCCAGGTTCTCTGCAAGAGCAGTCAGTGCTCTTAACCACTGAGCCATCCCTCCAGCCCTCTATTATTACTTTTATGTGTATGAGTGGATTTCCTGCATGTATGTAAATGCATCCATGTCATGCAATGCCTGCAGAGGTCAGAAGAGTGTTGGATCCCCGGAACTGGAGTCACATACAGTTGTTAGCTGTGCGTGCTGGGAAATGTACCTGGGTCCTCTAAAACAGCAGCTGGTGCTCTAACCGCTGAGTCATCTCCAGCCCTCTGAACAGTACATGTTCTTTTCTGCTGAGCCATCCCTTTAAATCCTTATTTTTACTTTTGTGTGTCTGTATGAATGTATTCTGTGTGTGGGAGTGCCTGCAGAGGCCAGAAGTGTCATATTCCTTGGAGCTGGAGTTACAGGAGGTTATGAGCCACTGACATGGGTGCTGAAACCAAACTCAGGTCCTCCAGAAGAACAGGAAGTGCTCTCAACGGCTGAGTCATCTTCCCAGAACCCTCAACATGTTTTAAAACTTTATAAAAATAGTATCATCCCAGAATGGGAGTGTGGCACACACTTGTAATCCCAGCACTCAGAAGGGTAAGGCAAGAGGATTGCCACAAGTTTGAGGTCAGCCTGGGCTACAAAGCGATCTACCCTATCTCAAAATAATAACCATTGTCTTAGTTTGTTCTTCATTGCTGTGACAAAACACTGACTGGTACCAACTTGGGGAGGAAAGGGTTTATTTGTCTTACATCTCCCAGGTTGCATGCAGTTCATCAGGGAGCCCAAGGTAGGAACTCAGGGCAGGAATCTGGAGGCAGGAGCTGGAGCACAGGCCATGGAGGAATGCTGCTTACAGGCTTGCTCCCTTGGCTCTTGTTCAGCCTGCTTTCTTATGCAACACAGGCCCACCTACCCAGGGGTGGCACCACCCACAGTGGGCTGGGCCCTCCCACATCACTCATCAAGAAGATGCCCTTCAGACATGGCCACAGGCCAGTCCAATAGAGGCAATTCCCCAATTGAGGCTCCCTCAACCCAGGTGTGTCAAGTTGACACTAAAGCTATCCAGCACAACCATCAAGTCAGAAAATGAGATCATCCCCCTATAATCCGATTTGCATTTTCATCCACTATAACCTGATGTGCATTCTCTTTGAGAAGTGCATCCACACTGAGTGGCTCTAAGTGGTTGCTCCGCAGAAGGGCTCACCAGACAGCTGGTTTCTAATCCACTGCACTTACTGCCTGTTCTGAACCTCACCCACATGTACATACATGTGTGTTTCTCCAGGAACACATAATTAAAAGTAGGGCTGCATATTTCCAATTGTTTTTCAGTCCAACAAAAACTTAAATGTGTGTTCTTTGGCCTAGTGGTTCACTTTCTGGATTCCATAAGAAATTAACCCCAGAAAAAAAGGTTCTAAAAGGTTTAAGGCAGCTCTGTGTATACTGCTTTCAACTACAGCATTCCATAAATTCTTCCTGAGCACTATGTATGAGAGACAGCCAAGGCAGGTGTGTGCATGGGGGGTGGGTGGGGGGTTGTGTGAAAATATCCCCATCCAGGACAGGGTTCTCACTCTCCGAAAAAATTAAAACCTTGGACTGGTCATGGTTTGGTGTGAGGGCTGTCCTGTGTACTGGAAGATCCCGAGCAGTGTCCCTGCCATTACCCACTAGGTGCCAGTACCATCCACAAGTTGTGACAACCCACCCCCACCCCAGTCTCTGGGCAAGGGGATGTAGCGCCATTGACCTGGGACCACCGAGTACTCTTCAGAACCAGTCCTTTACTGAAGGTTAGGAAAAATGTCACACAGGGCAGAACCAAAGCCCTCACTGAAATCAAGCTGGGATGCACCTCTTGTCCATGTGTATGGTTCACACTATTATAAACAGCAGAGACACTTTGAAATTTTGGCTTATGAAGAAGTACACATCGGGTACAAACGCCCTGAGTCCTCAGTTCCTGGGCTACTTGTGAGTCCACCATTACTCTTCGTGCACAGCAGCTTCTTGCTTCAAGTACATGTGTCACAACTGCAAGTTTGTTACATAAACATGTACAATTTTCTTACTTGGCAGTATCTTTCAAGAACAATTATTTGCTTCACTTAACTACAAATTACACAAAATATTTCTCTAAGCTCTGGAGATACTACCCAGACGTCATTTTAAGAAAAAATACATGGGGCTGGAGAGATGGTTCAGTGCTTAAGAGCACTGGCTGTTGTTGCAGAGAACCTGATTTCAATTCCCAGCACCCACATGGCAGCTAACAACTGTCTGTAACTCCAGTTTCAGGGGATCCAATGCCCTCTTCTGATCTCGGCTGGCATTGCATGACACAGGTGCACTTACACACATGCAGACAATATACACATTAAAAATAAAAGCCCCCCCACACACACATACTACTATTTCAGGAAAATTGAACTAATTTATTGATCTGGCATCCAGACTGGGTTACCATGTGAGTATAATACTTGAGACTTTGCTGTGTATTTATTTCATTCAGCAAACTTTTATAAGTCCCTCTGGTGCCCATTCATAAACATCAGGCAAGCCCCAGTCTCAACAAGGTCTTCCCTGCCCCAGTCCCTGAAGATCTTCAGGACTGGATCTCCTGACACAGAACCGGGAGCCCTGTCCTTTCATTAGTTTCACTGGGGATTCTGAAGGCAGACAAGATGCCCCAGACAGAGAAAAGTTAGGCAGATAACATCATGGTGAAACAACAGAGGGATTAGAGAATATCCTGCAGTGGTGGGCCTCCTATTGGAGGGAATCTCTAAGGGGTGCCTTGAGGGCTGTAAAGAATTTCATCAGGTGAGAAAGGCACTCCAGGTCAAAAGAAAAACAAGGGAGTTATGGAAGCATGAAAAATGCACAGGTGTTTGTGGAACTGAAGTGTGTCTGTGGGCTGGGAACAGAGAAGATCGGAACCAGGGTCTCAATCTACCTGAGGGAAGTGTGTCAAGATCCACTGTCCCCAGAGTGAACCACTGGGCCTTCAGTCCTACAGACAACGAACCCCACCTGGAATGCTCTCTTCTTCTGCATTTCCAACCTGAACCCATCTTTCCAAAGCTAGCTCAGACACCACCTCTTTAAAAGCTTTGGGGTCCCTGACCTGCAATCTTTTTTTCTGAATGCATTTTGTTATTATCTCTAGTTTTTGTTTTGTTTTGTTTTGTTTTTCTTTCGGTTTCCCTGTAGCCACAGCTGGCCTGGATTTGCTAACGGAGACCAGGCTGGCCTGAACTCAAAGAGATCTGCCTGCCTCTGCCTCCTGAGTGCAGGGATTAAAGGCATGTGCCACCACGCCCGGCTTATCTAAGCTTCTTAACCTAGGTCACAGTTTATCTCCTGCTAGTTCACAAACTTCTTGTGGACAGAGTACCTGTCTGCTTTGCTTTTGTGCCACAGTTTAGGCTGAAAGATTGACCAGATGGCACTACAAGGCTACATTACTCCAAGTGCTGACAGAGCTCCCACTACCCCCATTAGATTAGATACCAAACACGCTTCTAATCGAGCTGCCTAACTTTAAGTTTGCTTTCATTTGGAGGAAATTATAACATTGACCTTTTCAAAGCTGTCTCATCAAACTCAAAAAAAGTTGTTGTGGCCATATTTAGCAGTCTGGTAAAGACAAGCTCTGGAATGGAGCCACCTGAAAGACATTGGGCCAAGTCACTTGGCCCCTCTTGAGCTCATTTCCCAGGAGCTAGGGATGCAACTTAGTTGGAAGAGTGCTTGCCTAAGCATACAGGAAGCCCAAGTTCAAACCCCAGCACTGCATAAACCTGGCATGGTGATACAGGCCTATATCCCAGCTCTCAGGGAATAGAGGCAGGAGGATCAGGAGTTCAAGGTCATTTTTGGTTACATATTGAGTTTGAGGCCACCCTGGGACATAAGACCTTGTCTCAAGAATCCAAAACAAAAACTCACAGTGGCTGATGACAACTGACCAGAGAGTGCATAGCACAGAGTAGTGGCTTTCCAAAGAAGAGTAGCCAGTGCTTAGAGGCTGTACCAGTGTGTGCCAGTCTCTGACTCAGATGTGCTGTGCACAGCCTAGCCAGGGACGCATTTGGTTCTGCAGCAGACCACCAGTCAGCAAGTTTGTCCAGTGAGTCATTTTCCCGAAAACAGGGACTCCTGGCATGGATTTGCTAATAGAGACCAGGCTGGCTTCCCAAGGTCACCCAAGGTCACTTGTCTAGAAAGTGCTCTGTTTGGCGGAATCATACTCCTACTAAACTTTAGCAACACAGGTCTCCAATCTTTGTAAAATTTTTTATTATTGTGTTTGTGTGTGATGTGCCATGGCACACGTGGAGGTCAGAGGACAATTCTGTGGTGTCAGCTCTCTCCTTCCACCTTTATATGGGTTCTGGGGATTGAACTCAGGTTGCCAGGCCTGTGTGGCAGACGCCTTTACTCGCCAAAGGCACTTAGCCACTGGGCCATGCTGCTGGCTCAGCTTACAGCCTTGATGACCCAGCGGACTACAAACCTACCCAGCCAAAATGCACTTCCAAACCAAAACCAAGCTGAAACTGGCTGCCTCCTCTCCAGCCTATTTCTTCTGGTCCAAGCAGCTCTTGGTGAACAACGTTTTGTTATTTCCAAGCTCAGTAGGGAAAGAGGATGTGACTGTACACAGCACACGGAAACCACCAGCTTCAGGACCTGCCTGGATGCTTCCAGGTGGTCAAGCCACTTCCTAGAGCCTGCTCCTGGCAGCCAACTGCAGTGTATGCAGGTACTAAACCCACTGGCTGCCGAAGGGCCGTTCTGCAGTGTGCTTAATTTGCTACTGTGCTGTACATTGTGCTGGGCTCTGGAGTTAGAAATCTATTCACTAAAGCCTACGGCGAACTATTAGGAAGTTCTTGTCTGTCCCAGGTCTGCGTCGGCAGCAGAATCCACTCAGCTCTGGGATCTGACCTCAGGACTCTAGGGCAACCCATGGGAAGCGTCCCCAGGTCACTCCGAGTTTCCTCTGAGTGTTGAAAGCTGCCTGTGTAGACCCTGCAACACTGCAAGGGCTCGACTAATGCAGAACCAATGGACAGAGGCTGCGGGGTGGGGGAGGGGCGCCGAGAAGGACAGAAAGCAGAGGCCGCGGCATGTACAGCCCGGCGCAGGGGCGGGGGGCTGAGGGTCCGCACGCCCCCCAGGGCGCCTCACCTGGGGCGGCAGCAGGCGCGGGGCCCCCTCGGCCGCGTCTCGCAGCCGACGCGCGGCGCCCTGCAGCCCGAGGGGAGGCGGCGGCTGCGCCCGCGTCACCTGCTCCAAGACCCGGCGCAGCTGCTCCGGGTCCAGCGGGGCGACGAGCCCCGCGCTGCGGCTCCGACTCCAAGAAGCCTGGCCGCCGTCATCCTCCGGCCCCGGCTCTGCGCCCGCCATGGCGGCCCAAGTGGGGACTCGAACCCGCGTCGAGCGACCGCGGCGCAAATATGCGTCATCTGGGAAAAGGGGCGGGCGCTACGGGTGCTGCGTGGACCAAAACACCTCGGAGGCGACCGCACCGCCACTCGGGTCCGAAAGGCGGAGGGTGGAATCGGCCGCCAAGCCCGGCGCTTCCCTCCTCCCGTGCTGAGGGTCTCGGGTGGAGGGCTTCGGGGTCCTAGATCCCTGGCCTACACTTGACACACTCTTAAATGTGGGCCCCACTCGAGAAGTTTGGGACTGCAGGGACGCACCACCACGCCTGCGTTATGCTGTTGTTGGATCGGGACGGAACCAGAGCCTGGTGCTTGCTGGGGCAGGAACTGTACCCGGCACCTCGAACTCCTGGCCATCCTACTGTCTCAACCTCCCGAATGCTTGCTTGTTTGTCAATAAGCAGTGGGACGCGGGAGGGGGGAATAGTAGTCTCCGTGCATGCTGCAGCAGCCTCAAAAGTTCTTTTCCTAGACTTTTACTGAAGAAGAGATGAGTGATTTCACAATACTAGAGGATTTGCGGGATGAGTGACTATGAAGCGGGTTTATTAGGAAGGGAGTTTAACGTGGATTTGAACACGGATTAATGGAAAGAGGTGTGGGAGCTTCTCAGCAGGGAGTCGGCTTCAACGTCTGAGCCGAGGCCATATACATCATTTTGATGGCTCTCGAGTTACATCTCAAAGCTGCTTCAAGGAATCTCTCTCTTCCTCTCTCAATAAATGAGTTTAGAGGATGGCTCAGGGTAGCTCTAGGGGTACCTTTGATAGGACTGCAATCTGGTAAGATAAAACAGTGGGTGAAAAGAACTGCACAGAGAGATTAGAATATATCTATTAGGGGGCTGCAGAGACCGCCCAGCGGTTAAGAGCAATGGCTGCTCTTGCAGAGGACCTGGGTTCAATTCGAAGCACCCACGTGGTGAACTGGCTCAGCAAACTTACCTAAGTTACTCCATTTTGTTCAGAGCCATTTCAGCCGCAACTTTGCTCCACACCAAAAGGAAAAGGGGGGCAACCTTGGATCTTGGGAAATTGTCCTAGCCATGAACCATGGAACGTGCTAATCTCAGACATTCTACATCTGGCTAACTGCTTGTTTTCGCTTCTGTAACTCGCTTGCTATTTTACGTCACCTTGACACAAAGTATGAGACCACCCCGTTATTGTCTGACAACCGGGTAACTGCTGATTCCAGCTTTCTTACTATACTTGTTACGGTTAGGAAGTTGACTAATCTTAAAATTACAAAGCTGATTGCCAAGTTATATGACTGTATCACTTGTCTGTATAATGATTGGTTGTTGATTAATAGATTGAAAGTTCTGCTGTTGTACAAACCTGAGTGGTTCACAAATGTCCTGTTTGAATAATATTTCTGCAATCTTATAAAAAAAAACTCTGACCCAACAATCATCAGGGCTGTTTCTACTCCGATAGACAGCCCAGCTGGTCGAAAAAATAAAATCTACCCTGCTACTTAAAGTGGTGTTGGTGATTTTTTGTGAACTCTGACCTATAACACGTGGCAGCTAACTACTATCCCTAACTCCAGTTCTGACTCTGAGGGCATTGCATGACATAGGTGCATGTAGAGATATGCTGGCAATATACTTATACACATAAAATAAGAATATGTTTTTAAAAGACCTATCTTTTTCTGTAAACGTGGTTTCCTGTGAGACTCTTAGAAAATAGCAGGTTTACGGCTGGGAAAGGAAATGGGCAATAAATACTTGGGCCTTAAACATAGTTCATTGTTTTATAACATTGTTATTTGAAATATTTCTTTTCTAATACTTTTTTCCATTTTTTTCTTGTTTGGTTTTTGCTCTATTTTTATTTTATGTATATGTGTGTATTGTGTGCATATATGCAAGTGCACCTGTATTGTGCAGTGCCCACAGAGGACAGAAGGCATCGGATCGCCTAGAACTAGTCACAGACAGTTGTTAGCTGCCATGTGGATGCTGGGATTCGAACCCAGGTCTTCTGCAAGAACAGCCAGGTGATCTTAACTGCTGAACCATCTCTTCAGCCCCCAGTGAAACACTTCTACATAAAAGGAATATTGTTTCTAGGTTGGCAGCCTTCTCAGTAAATGTTAATTGTGCTAGAATTCTTGGCTCTCAACTGGCAAGAGGCTTCAACCAGACCCCAGGTCGATGGGAGTTCCTTCCCTTTCCCCTTCACGTTTTATTTTTTACCTGTATTTTTATCTTGCCTCATTATGGGATTATAAAGTTTGTTTTTGTTGTTGTTTGATCTTGGGGTTTTGTTTTTTGAGCCAGGGTTTCCTTTAGTCTCTGCTGGCCTGGAACTTGCTTTGTAGACCAGGCTGACCTCAATCTCACAAAGATCTGCTTACCCCTGCCTCCTGAGTGCTGGGACTAAAGGTGTGTGCCACCACTCCAGTCTCAAGTTTGTAATTTTAACATGAGTGCTCTCAAGCCTTCCAAAGTGTTTCCAGGGCAACCCATCCCATGCCTACTTGCCACCTAGACTGTGTACATCTATTTATTTATTTATTTATTTATTTATTATTTATTTATTTTTGAGACAAGGTCTCACTATATAGCTCTTGCTGGCCTATAACTATGTAGACTAGGCTGGCCTCAAACTCGCAGTGATTCACCTGCCTCTGTCTCCCGAGTGCTGGGATTAAAGGTGAATGCCACTATTCCCATCTACTGTGCATATCTTCAAGGCAGGAATGATATATTACTCACTGGGTGCCCAACACAAGTTCTGTCTCAAAATATATGCTTAGGAAATGAAGGATGGATGGATAGATGGAGAGATGGATGGATGGATGGATGGATGGATGGATAAATGGGTTTATGCATGCATGGGTGGGTGCATGGATGCATGGGTAGATGTTTTATTAATGGATAGATAAGGAGACAGACGGACAGATGGATGGGTAGGTGCATGCATGCATGGATGAGTGGATAATGGATGAATGCTTGGATGGGTGGACTGGTGGGTAGATGAATGGATGGGTGGGTGGGTAGATAACTGCATAGATAGATGGATCCATGAATGGATGGATAATGGATGAATGGACACATGGATAGGTGGGTGGGTGGATGATGGATGCATGGTTATGTGGATAATGGATTCATGAATGCATGAATGGATGGATAATGGATAGATGGATGGGTAGATGGATTGATGGATGAGTGGCTTCGTTGCTGGATGCATGCATGGTGTATGGGTGTGTGTGTGGATGCATGCATGTACCCTCTTCAGATTTTGTCCAGCTCCACTACCCCCTCTTTCTCAGCTTTATTTTTTACTGTGGTAGCTGTCTTCTCCCACTTCTGGTACCTGCAGGTATGTGTATCTGTCCCAGCTCTTCTCTCCAAGCAGAGCAGTAGGGCCGCTGGTCAACACACACTCACTAAGCACCTGTTGGATGAATTGTAGTCTTTGTCCTGGGAAGTAGGCAATCTAGGTAGGAAGGAGACTGGCAATTGCAACTAGTATGATGAGCCCATGAAACCCGTAGGGGAAGAGGCTTTGGGCAGCAGGTGGCTAAGGTGCTGATCATTGTTTTCTCCGCAAGATTATCATCTTTATCATCATCATAGCTGACCTCCACCTTGTATTCACAAGCTCCTCAGCACCTTCGCTACGGGTTGGCCAGAGGAAGATCGTATTTGTGAATTTTGTTTAATTATTTTTTAAGTTGGGCTTTACTGAAACAAGGTCTTGGAATGTAGCCCATGCTGGCCTGAAGTCATGAATCTGTTTCCTCAGCCTCTCAAGTGCTAGGATTATAGGAGTGTCTGCTATGTCTGTTTCAATTATTTTTCTTTTTTTTTTTTTTTTGGTCTTTTTGAGAAAGGGTGTCCCTGTAGCCCCAGCTGGCCTGGATGGCCTAGAACTTGCTCTGTAGACCAGCCTGCTTCTGCTCCCCAAGTGCTGAGATTAAAGGTGAGTGCCACCATGCCCAGCCTCTTGTTGCATTTGCTTTCTTTTTTCTTTTCTTTCTCCTTATATTTTATTATTTTATGTGTATGAGTGCATTGGCCTGCACGTATGTAAGTGTACCCTGTGTCACGTAGTGCTCAAAGAGGTCAGAAGAGTGCATTGGATCCAGTAGAACTGGAGTTCCAGATGGTTGTTAGCCACCATGTAGGTGCTGGGAACTGAACCCAGGTCCTCTGTAAGAGCAATTGGCACTCTTAACTGCTGAGCCATCTCTCCAGCCCTCCTTGGGCTATTCTTGTCTGATTAGTTTGCCCACACGCAGTTCCTAACACCACAATTCTCAAGCTAGAGGGGTGGTGTAGCATGGCTCTGGGCTGATCACAGAGTGGACGGTAAGAAAGGAAGCCATGTTCACCAGACTAAGGCGGAAGGCAATGTCAGTGCCAGTACATAGGTAGATGCTTGAGATCCAGTCTCAGGACTCAGGACTCAGCTCCACTCCCTGCTGTGTCCCTGGGGCTGACCAGGTACTCCGACTGTATGTTCCAAGCCATGAGCCCTGCACAGCTGGGCCTCTAATTTTGTTTGTAATAACCACAGTCCCACCCACCAACATTTAACTGTGTCGGTCACTTTGACTACATCTCAAGCATTTACCAGGGTCTCAAACCCAGGGGACGTGAGCTGCTCTTACTTAATTCTGAGTCTAATCACACTTGACAAAAGAACCACTGAGGAGCCAGGCCTGGTAGTTCAGGCCTATAATGCCAGCACTCAGGAGGTTGGGACACAGAATCTTTGCCTTGAGCCTAGCCTAGGCTACAGACTGAGATTGCCTCTTGTAAAGGACAAAACCAACAGGTTCCACCTCCAACTTGGGCCAAAAGGCAATGACCCTAAGAAAATAGGCTGTTACACTCAACACACCTGACCACCCCCAGAGACTTGGGCTTTCAGTGGGAAATTAGTTCCAGGCCTGCATTTTCAGCTGTAAGAACTGCACAACCGAAAAGCCGCCACGAGCTCTTCTGGAAAAGCAAAACCCCATGTGGCCCATGCGGGGATTGAACCAAGGACCTTGACCTTAATGTTATTAGCTCCCCGCTCTAACCAGCTGAGCTGACCGGCCACCACTGCCTAGGCTGCCCAAGCCTGCAAGTTTCCCACGCCTTGACCCAGCCGGAATTATGTATATATGTAATATAATATAAATATATAATTCTAATATATAATATACTATATCTTTATTATATATATATATTTTTTAAAGTGCTTTAAATACAAAACAAAACAAAACAAAACAGGGCTGGAGAGATGGCTCAGCGGTTAAGAGCACTGACTGCTCTTGCAGAAGACCCGGGTTCGAATCCCAGCACCCACATGGCGGCTACAAACCGTCCTTAACTCCAGTTCCAGGGGAATCCGAAGCCCTTTTCTGACCTCTGCGGCATTGCAGGACACGGGTGCACTCACATAAATGCAGGCAATACACTCATATACATAAAATAAAAAAACAAAACATTATGCTCTCTCAAGCAAGACCTCAGCTCTTTCGTCATTTTATGCTATGCGTGCTGGGCTGGCCTGTGCGTGCACCACGTGCCCCAAGTCACTCGACGCTCCCGGGAGCAGTAGAGGGCGTTACCAGGTAGGTGGGTGCTGGAAAGCGAACGCGGGTACTGGGAATCCTCCCTCCCGCGGAGCCAGGCCTCAAGGGGCTCAGTCTCTCCATCCGGCCAATGGGGACCCAACTGAAGAACTGGGCGGAGGCTGGAGGAGGTCTCACGTTGCCCAGGCTAGCTTCCACCTCACTACGTTCGAGGGTGACCTTGAACTTCAGACCTCCCAGGTCTGGGCCACCACGCCCTGCAGAGAAAGAGGTGGCAGGATTCATCTACACTTGGGAGTCAAGGCAGGAGACTGGGTGTCCAGGAAAGGACGCGTGACGTCGGGGTGTCTCAGCATCCGGGGTGTGGGCCGGAGGGCCAGGGGTTCGAGGTCACCCGGGGGTTCGCGGTCACCCAGAGCGGGCTGGAAGCCCCCAGTGACCATCGGACCTGCACCGTCCTGTACCCCCCACCCCGCGATCACCTCCACGGCCATGAGGGGTCTCCAGAAGACCGCGGCCAGCCGACCCCGGCTGCGCTGGGAATTCCAACCCGGTTCCGCGAGTGGGTGCGTGGGAACCGCGGGGGGAGGGAGGCTAGGCCGAGGCAGGCGCAGTGACCAAAGGTGGGCACCAGGGGGCACCCGAGACGCACAGCTCCGAAGCCAGAAGACAAGTGGTGGAGAGCAGTTGGAGGTTTTTATAAAGGGTCTTTCCCCTCCTCTCCCCTCCCCTCCCCTCCCTCCCTATCCCTCTCTCCCTCTCTCCCTCTCTCCCTCTCTCCTTCCCTCCCTCCCTTTCTCTCCCTCTCTCTCTCTCTCTCTCTCTCTCTCTCTCTTTCTCTCTCTCTCTCTGTCTTTTTGTCTTTTGCACAGGGTCTCCCAGCTGGCCTGAAATTCCCTATGTAGACCAGGGTGCACTTGAACTCACAGAGATCTGCCTGCCTCTGTCTCACAAGTGCTGGAATTAAAGGCTTGCAATACCAGGCCCGGTGTGTCTATATATTTTTATGAACCATTTTCTTTTCTTTTCTTTCTTTCTTTCTCCCTCCCTCCCTCTTCTTTCTCTCTTTTTCTTTCTCTCTTTCTCTCTCTCTCTTTCTTTCTTTCTCCCTCCCTCCCTCTTCCTCTTTCTCTCCTCTTTCTTTCTTTCGGTCTTTTTGAGACAGGGTCTCCTTGTAGCTCCAGCTATCCACTATGGAGACCAGGCTGGCCTCGAACTCACAGAGATCTGCCTGCCTCTGCCTCCCAAGTGCTGGGATTAAAGGCATGCGCCACCATGCCTGGCTTTTTTTTTTTTTTTTTTTTTTGAGACAGGGTTTCATGTAGCCCAGGCTGGCCTTAAACTCACAATGTACCTGAGGATGATGTTGAACTTCAGATTCTCCTGTTTCTACTTCCCAAGAGCTGGGACTAAAGGCTCTCATGACCTTGCCTGGTTGTACCCAGTGCTGGGGGTCCAAGCCGGGGCTTCATGCATGCTAGGCAAGCACTCAACCAAATGGGCCACATCCCAACCGGACCCCTGGTTCTGGTAGAACTTTCTGTGTTGCTCTATGTTGTTCTATGTTGTTTGCATACTTTTCTAGGGAGCAGCTACTGACCTGACAGAACTACTGAATTCTTTTTTGATAACATCAAACACATGAGATAAGATAGCACTCGTTCTTTTGTGGGGTTTTTATTGTTTGTTTTGCTTTTAGTTGGGAGACATCCTTCCAGAACTTTCGGACCTGCTATACTCTGGATCGGCTGTTCTTCAGCCCTGAGGCCCATTTCATCCTTGCCTGGCCTTCACCATGGAATTTTGAATCCCTAACCCTCTTTTCTGTGTTGGGTCCTTGTCCTTGAAATCCCAGGGTTTTGCCTCCCTTATTTACCTTTCCTTTGGGTTCTGGATAGCCATCATTGGCTACCGCAGAGAGGCTCACGGGAAGTAAATGTTCTAAGTCCTCCTTGCATGTGTGCCCTCACACCTGGCCAGTGCCTGGAGAATTCTAAGGTAGAGATCACTGTCCCTCAGCATGTACAAGGCCACACTCCCTATCTTCTGTGGCCAGTGAGTTCAGTGTCATGTCGGAACCCAATCTCTGGTGTATGACCAGTTTTTCTGCTTAATGCTTTTAGGGACTTTCACCATCCTACTGCTTTGAACTGTCACTGTCTGCCTGTTGATGTGTGTCTTTTGGCGTATATAGCCCAAGTGCGTAGAATTAGGGCCAGGCTCGAAGAGCAGGTGCCCAACAAATATTTGGAATGTTAAACTCACTGTGCCAAGATTGCCTTAGGACGGTGGGTTTGCAAACATGCCTGTGCATTCTGGAAACACTTCTAGAGAAAAATGTTTGTGACAGGGATTTGTAACCCCCTTTACTCTGTATCTTTTTGCTTTTTCTAGCACACTAGTCCCCAGAGGTCAGATCATTTGCCTTGATTCTCTTGATTTTATTCTCTTTTCTATGGTCCCTGCCTTTAAGTGAATTTTCCCCCCTGTGTGTCTAGGGATCAAACCTAGGGTCTTCAACGTAATAACCCTCTGTCCTACCACTGAGCTATAGCCTAATCCATGCTTTTTTTTTTTTTAGTCTATCTCTTGATCAGTTTCCATAACTACCCTCCAACTTGCTTCTTACATTTTTTTTTTTTTATTTTGACTTGAGGCCCTGGCATGTACAGACCCAAGGAGGGCAGAACTTTCCATATGGAACCTGATTCCTGTTTGCTAACTCTGAGGGAAAAAAAAAAATCAGAAATTAAATGTTTCATTATACAACATGTACTGTATCAAACCTGTTAGACAATACAAAAACAAACCCAGACAAACAGAAGGTTTTCAGATTTGCTTCTACTTTGCTACAACAGATCAGCTGGTTCCCTAAGAGATGTACATTATTGGAACAGTTCTGCAAAGTCTCTTTTGAATGTAGAAATGCAGGGAGTTGGAATCCAGAGACTGATATCTGAGCTCAGAGGGCCACCAGCAGGTGACCTTGACAAAGCCCTTTGCCACTCTGTGAAAAATGGCTTCTGCAACCTAAGTCAGCACAGCTCTTCTCTAACCTGCCTGTTTAATTGGATTAAAGGGCAAAGTTTGTCGTGGATCCCTAAAACTGTTGTTTTTTTTTTTGTTGTTTTTTTTTTTTTTTTTTTTAATTTTTTTGAGACAGGGTCTCCCTGTAGCCCCAGCTGTCCTGGAACTCACTATGTAGACCAGGCTGGCCTTGAGCTCACAGAGATCCTCCCACCTCTGCCTCCCCAGTGCTGAGATTAAAGGCGTGCACCACCACCCTGGCTATCCTAAAACTCATTTAAAATCAGCCTTGCCCTCAGACGGAAAGGAAGGACAGGTCAGGTGACAGGTGACGATGCTTCTCGGTTAGCTGACAGATATTTATTGAGCACTCTCTCTATGCTAGGCTGTGGGTCAGACCTCAGGCAAAAAACAAAAACAAAAACAGCCAGAAACTGCACAGTGCACCAGGGACACCTTACTTAGACCTCATGGAGTCCCCCTGGGGTGCTTTTTCTTTCTTTTTAAAAAATATTTTTATTTTATGTGTATGAGTGTATTGCCTGCATGTATGTGAGTGCACCCATGTCGTGCAATGCCACGGAGGTCAGAAGAGGGCTTCGGATTCCCCTGAAACTGGAGTTAAGGATGCTGGGAATAGAACCCAGGTCCTCTGAAAGAGCAGCCAGTGCTCTTAACTGCTGAGGCCAGGGGTGCTTATTTTTCAACCTCATTTTACAGAAACAAGAAAACAGTTGGGGCTGGAGAGATGGCTCAGCGGTTTAAGAACACTGATTGTTCTTTCAGAAGACCTGGGTTCGAATCCCAGCACCCACATGGCAGCTCACAACTGTCTGTAACTCCAGTCCCAGGGGATCCAACAGCCTCTTCTGACCTCCACGGTGCACTTAACCTACATGGAGGTAATGCACACATACACATAAAATAAAAATAATGAATTAAAAAAAAAAAAGAAAACAGTGGTACAGGGTGACCTAGCGGGAGTCGTCTTAACATCTTAACAACATGTGTTAAGTTCAGTGCGCACCCCCCCGGGGGAAAAAAAAATCACGAATCTTGTCTTCGCTGCTTTTCTTTATATTCGGTGCTTGGAGCAAAATAAATGTTTGCTGGATTAAAAAAGAAACTACAAATTTACCGGGCAGTCGCTGAACAGCGCACTGTAGGAGCCGGCACAGAACAGGTAACCAGTTCCTGCTGGCTCCTGAATGACTCAGTACCCCAGTCCAGGCCCAGGAGTCTCCCCACAGCTGGGAAGAGGGAGCCCGGGAAGGTCGCCTACTTGCAGCGGCAGGGAATTGTATTTAAATTTAAAACCATCAGAGGGGTCGCTTAGCAACCAGGCTGCGGAGGCGGGCAGCACTGCGCATGCGTGCTCTGGCAGGGTCTTGTGCGCACGCGCAAGCGGTGGTTCTGGGCGCTCGGGTATCTGGTGGTTGCTAGGGTGACCGGAATACAATATGGCGGTGGGATCGTAACGCTCTCCCGCCAGGGCCCAGCGCGCAGGTCCTCGAGTCCACGCCGCCTAGGGAAGTACCAGGCCCCGCCGCTTCGGCCCCACCGAGCCGGCTGTGCCGCCATCCGTGAGGATGAAGAGTGAGTGCGGCGGCCCTGGGGATGTGCTCGCTTCCTTCCTTAATCCCCTCCTTCCCCATCCCTTCCTCCTTCCTTCTTTCTCTTCTTCCTCTTCCCTCCCTCCTTTCCTTCCTTCCTCCACCCTCACTCCGTTTCTCCCTCCTCCCCCTCCTTCCTTCCTCCTTCGCTTCCTTCCTCCTTCCGTCCCTCCCTCCTTCCCTCTTCCTTCCCTCCTCCCCCTCTTTCTTCCTTCCTTCCATCTTTCCGTCCTTCCTCCTTCCCTTCCCCCTCCTCCCTTCCTCCCC